TTCGAATCTCGGTTCCGATTCCGACACTTCATTATTATGTACTGACGGAGGTGGAAATTTCATCCGCGCTCTCTTTCTTCTTTTATACCAGCGCCACACCCGCGAGGTGTTAGCCGGGTTTCGTGCAGACCGCGGCCGGCGGCCGCTTCCGAGAGCTTTCTGACCCCCACGAAGCTAATAATAATAAGTCGAGTCAGGCAGGCAGGCAGGCAGGCGGAGGGGCTATCTAGGGGCAGGTAGGGCAGAGGCTACTGTAGCGGCAGGCAAAGCCGGGTACTGCAAGCAGTGGTACCCAACAACAGCAGCGACGAGGGGGRATCCCGTGCGTGTATCGTTATCCCCAAACGCGGCCGATTATTGCTACAGACCGACGACAGGACAGCGATTCCCTCGCGCGGCGGCTGCTGCCTGCTGATTCCGTCGCTGCCCACTACTGCCAGCTTGTAGAGGGGTAGTCAGCCGAGGGAACGGAGGGAGGACGGGCGGGAGAGCGAGAGTGTAAATAGTTAAAAAAGAAAAGAGAAAGAAAGCCAGCGGGACTACGAAATGTGAACGAGCGAAGCAGTTGGTCAGTTATTCCTCACGAACGAGGACAGCTATCTGGCCCTTTCCGCGTTATCTCTTTAGTCGCTAGAAAGCTGGGAGACGGGCCCAGTGTCGCCATCAAGGGAGTGCGTGTCTCATCGGCCAAGCACAACTCCGGCCAAGCACAACTCCGGCCAAGCAATACTCCGACTACGAGTTATGCTCCACATGCTCAGTACGCTTCCCAGCCATTGCATGCTTCCCAGCCATTGCATGCTTCCCAGCCATTGCATGCTTCCCTACCATTGCATGCTTCCCAGCCATTGCATGCTTCCCTGCCATTGCATGCTTCCCTGCCATTGCATGCTTCCCTGCCATTGCATGCTGCCATTGCATGCTTCCCAGCCATTGCATGCTGCCATTGCATGCTTCCCAGCCATTGCATGCTGCCATTGCATTCTTCCCAGCCATTGCATGCTTTTGCATGCTTCCCAGCCATTGCATGCTGCCGCATGGGGCGGGGATGTACAGGGCGCCATTGCACCCAATGAACAGGAGGCCTCGCATGCTACCCGTTTTGCCCGGATGGATGTCCATCCAAAAGGCACCCATACATTTGGCCTGAAGCGCCAGCATGCACAGTGTCTCTGGAAAAATGGCTGGGAAACATGCTTGGTTGTTCAAACCACCAGTCACAAGCCTAAGGTTTTTTTTTTTTTTTTTTTTAAACACACCCCGTGTGGTGCTAGTGCTGCTGATAAGAGCAGGCATCACTAGCACCCGGGGAGAGGCTCCATCTATTGGTGGGGAGCGTCACCTGCTGGAAAACGGGGTCAGTGTCCCTTACACTGAAAGAATCTGGATGAATCAGGATGAATCAGGAGAATGTCAGGAAAATGACTGAGAAGGACGCTTGCCAGCATTGATTGCTCTGTTTCCAGAGGATTGACTGTGCAGGTTGTTGGGAAACGGGAATAAACCTCTTCGCCCTGAACCAGGCGCCAGATTCCTACTGCTGAGAGACTAGTTTCTCCCTCTCCCAACTATCTTTTACCCAACAGGAAAACAACTTTACCCCCTCATCCCGCACTATCAATCCCTTCGTTCCATTCTTACATCCACAGGCCTCTCTAACTGCACACCACTCCTGTCTGTTCCACCTTTCCTTCCTCCCTTTTCCTCTCCAACTGCACACTGCTTGTCGACTTTGTTAGTTTCCGAAGATCAGTGGCTCTTCCGCACCGTCAGGGCCTCCATTTGCTCATCACCAACCTTACTGTGGGGGGCAGGGTTGGTGGTTGTCTTATTGTCCTGAAACCACTGCGTCCTCCAGATGTGATCGTCACCCAAACCCCACCCTTCCTAATGACCATACCATGCATTCTCGACTATTGCCAGGGCATTTGCGGGGAAGGGGTCTGAGGAAATGTGGGTTACCTGGTTGGCTGTTGCTCGACCTGGGGAGACTCTGCACGCTGGGTGTGTTCTCAGCGAATATGTCATCGGAGTGGGACAACCGCTCGAAGGACTAGTCCTGTCCCCATTGGATAGGAACACGAGCGAGACATGGGTTGAATATCCAATCCTATATGAAGAAGGGCTATGCAAGATGTACCGATGTAATGAGAACTATGAACAGATTCCTGATGCACCGGACGTATGTCAGAGGAAGGGACTGAAGTGGATTCACGTAAATATCCGGAAGAAGCAAATGACGTTTGGAAAATCGCATGGAGAAGCAGGTTGGAAGTCGGTAAGACTGAGTAAGCTGGTGGTGTTAACTGACTTCCTGTTGGCTAATACATTTTTTCGGGTCTGTGGTATGGTGTTAAGGCAGAAGCGGGGCATTCCGATGGGAGGAAAGGCTAGCCCCCCTTTAGCCTGCGTAATGTGTATGTTCTTTTCTTTTTTTCTTTTTTTTCTTTTTTCCCCGAAAACAGCCCGAGTGAATGCTAGAGGTGCTGATAAGAGCAGACACCACTAGCATGCTCGGGGAGGCTCCATCTATTGGTGGGGAGCACCACCTGCTGGAAAGCGGGTCCAGCGTCCCTTGACATGTAAAAATGATTGTTATGAGAACATTTAACTGGTGTAGGCATGCCACGTGTCCTTTCTACTGAAAGAGAGTGGTCATCTAAGTGGTCATCCAAAGCGACCCACAAGCACACCAGGTAACTGATGAGCAGCATTGATTGCCCTCAACTGAGGGGATTAACTGCCCATCGTAATCCAGAGTCATATCCCTACTCTGAGTTCCTCATCATCTGCCGCATAAATCCTTACCATGTGACGCCCAAAACCTCACGTCCAGCGCGACTTCCTGATCGGAGTGGGATGTGGGCCTGGAAGTGCGAAAAGGGGTGTGCCAAGGATTTTTGGGAAAGTGGGGGTGGAGTCCCAGGTCAGAACTGAGGTCTCCTGTGGCAGGGTTTTTCGGGGGCACGAGTGCAATTTGGCGGAGAGGGCGGACCGCCTCTGGTCACAAGGCAGATGGTATGCATGGGTCGCTCAGGGTCGGGCGAGCCATTGGTTTCGGGGACGGCAGTTTGCGGGAGGGTGCCTTCGGTGTAGGTGGGGCTCCGATGAGTCAGGCCGTCGGGAGTTGCCGTGTGGCGCCGGTCGTCGCGCGTTTGGTTGGGCCTCCGGGATTCCGGGGTTCTCTGCTCGCCGCGTCATCGGCAGTTCCCGCAGGTCGTATTGGGCCAGTATGGGGCTATGGCCTGCCACGGGACGACGCTGAGTTGATGATACGGAAGAAGAAGGCGAAAGGGAGGGAAGCTGGTGGAGATAACGAGAAATCCGGGGTGGGTGAAGTAGTAGGTATGGTCCGGAGAGGGGAAATCAGAGCACCGGGGGTCGCTAGTGGTGGCGCTGTGAAATTCCCGAGGACACAGTCGGTTCTCGGTTAGGCAAGGGTATCTCTGTCGGAGGAGTTCGTTTATCCAAGGGGTGAAGTAATCCGGGTCGTATGATGAGTCAGAATTCCAGGATTGTGTCATTGTGTCATTGCAGAGTTATGAGTTGCCTAAGGGCGGGTCCGTGGCAATCGCGATCACCTCGTGTGAGCATGTGCAGGCTGGTGCGAATCAAGTTGAGCTCACACGTGTTCGCCCGGGATGATTGTTCCGTCGCAGGCCCTGGATGGCCGTATCCAGGCAGACAGTATTTCTGCCGCCTGTATGGGCGAATCGACACACGGGGGCATGTGTAAATGCGCAGACCAAGTTGCATTTACACGCGTCCTCGCGCGACGTTCGCTGGACCAGGCATCCAACTATCTAATCACTCCGTGCTGTTTTGAGTATGCAAGACGCAACGACCACAATCAGCTCAATCGAAAGACAAACACAAACGAGAACAGGATTACCGATTGCGCAAAATTCCTATCCTACTCACGAGTGCATCAAAGGCAACAAACAAAGGCAAAAGCAAGGATCCGGTAGAAGGACAAGCGACCAAACATGGCATCCATGCATCCATACATTCGGCAACTGTGGGCAACATACACCCATATTGCATCTGAGATGGAAATCACAAAAACAAGTGTGAGCAAAAACCCGAGTCCAGATTCCGATAAACAGAGAACGGGCGGGTCGCCCGGAGCCGAAATCAAAATTTATATACACGAGGCAGGAGGGAGAAAAGATAAAAGAAACAGCAAACCCGCGTCCATCAACCTCAACTCTCTCTTCCTCCCTCTCTCTCTCTCCGATGCGGACAGTCCGTCGTTGCGCACCAACCCACGAAGCCGTCACCCCGCTTAGTCCTCCCGCACCCGTGAAGTTCGCCCGCGCCCACAGTCCGTCGTGGCCCGCGTCAACCCCGCGAGTTTGGCACCAGCTCGTCGGGTCGCCCGACTCCTGCTCTACTCACCTCTTACTTCGCTCGTGTGCCGACCCCCTCTGATCGCGCAACCCCGAGCTTCCAACTGCTAGTTAAGAGAGCTAACTAACTATGCAGCCGAAATTTATAGCGTGTATGCATGCGCGAAGAACACGGAATTACCAGGACTTAGAGGGGAGATTAGAGAGGGAGTGTTTGCATTCTGCATAACCGGGCCGCAACGTGGGGGACGTAGCCACTCTCCACGCATCGATCTGAGCATGCAGTCCGTAGCTACAAAAACGCAGCAAAAAGAAAGAGAAGGAGGGCGGGAAAGACGAAGCGCAAGAAGAAAGATACAGTTACAATGGCGCCAGCCCAAAATTACAGTTACACACCCGATTAAAGGTGCCGACTAATCAGAAGTCCGTTGCAGCCGCATAAAGAAGCGCGTAAGCAAAAAGGTGTCGCGCGGCAAAAGAAAGTCCTAATTACAAAATTCCTAAATTTCTAACTAATGCGAGAAAGCAAAAGTACAGGTTCCGAAACGAAAGTCCGAAATTTTGAGAGCCATCGGGGCTCGACAAGACTCGAAAAAGAATTCAAAAAGAAAATTCAAAAGAACGAAACAAATTCCCGTGCGACGTCCGCGCCCAAAAGTTTCGAAACCGAACCAAAAAGAAATGACGTCAGCATTTATTAATCGCGCGCCTGGCGGCGCGCCAGCCATCCAACCAATCAATCACCCGTCCCGGGACACACCTAGCTCCGAACTCAGCCATCCAAAAAGAATCGACGCAAAAGACGAAGAAGCGAGGGTACTGATGCAGTTTCCCATCCATCCCAATCTCCCGTAATTGACCCAACCTTCCCATCTTAGGACCCCTCATTGCAACCGCGCAGAAAATCGCGCGCTACAGAAAGTGGTTTGTTACATATGTGACGCCTAGGGGGTTCCAATATTAGCAAGCTCCTGCTTGCTTGTTGACACATGTCGATCTCTCTAATCGATCGACACGTGGAGCTCTTCTCTCTATGCCACTTACCGTTCGAATGAGTGTGGACGTCATCCAACGTGGCAGCACTGCTCTACTACTAATTCCTCAGGGAGGGCCTTTGACAATCCAAGGAGGGGATTACACGTGTCGCCGTCATGACACGTGCCCACTAGTTATGCATCAGCGAGCGTCGGAGAGGGGAAAGGGGAGATGATACATGGAGGGGTTGCGAGGGGGAGGGTTGATGGGTAGCGGGGGAAGGAAGCTCTCCATCCCGGCCACCGTTTCCGGAAGTTCCTGATAGCGAACGATCCGGTGGAAGCGGGGGAATCGGTTGCCTGTGTGGGGGAGGGATGCGAGGTAGTCGGGATAAAGGGTGGTAAAGGTTCGAAAAAGGGCCGCGCGGAAGTGATCATGATTCTCGCATGTGGGGATAGTTTCCGTAATCATGCAGTATACCTCGATCATGTTGTGGCCTCGCCACGCGACACTAAGGAAAAGGATATGGAGGCAGAAGACAGGGTGGGCACATCGGGTGGAAGGGTGGGGATGAACAGTGACGGCGAGAGGGGTGGTGTAGAAAAAGCGGAAGATATCGATGGGGAAAGGATTAGCGGGGAAGGTGATGCGGGTGGTGATCTAGCGGAAGGAGAGATGATCAAGGGGACGGCGGGATAAGGACCGGGGACGAAGCCCGATGCCCTGCATC